ACATAGCTTCGCAAGAAAAAATGGTAAGACAAGTTTGAGCTCGGGCTCTTGTGACTTCTTGGGGAGACGCAGATTGTGCAATGCTTTCATAACTTGCCACCAAATGGGCCTCTCGCGCGCGCATGCCGGAATCGCTCGAACATCTTTGCGCGCGTGTTGCCGCAAGGATCCTTTGCAACAAAGCAGGACAAAAAAAACAACAACAAAAACAAAAAAAAAAAAAAAAAAAAAAAAACACGCGCGCGTCGTCGCGCGCACATGCCGCAATCCTTCCGAAACCGCAGGTTTCGTAAACAATTCAAAATCGACTGTCCTGGCGACCTGTAAAAACATACGGTTTTGCAACATCCTGTTGCAGAAAGGCCTGCGCTCGCGCTCCTGCGGTTCACTGCATGCTGATAAAACCAAGAAATCATCGGTATTCGACATGCCCATACCATTCTGCCAAGCGGTTTCATCGCGCCGAACGTCGAAGTCATTCGAAGCCCCTTGCGCGCGTGCTGGGGGGGGATCCGTGTCAAGTACAACCATGCGGGCCACTTTCGTGCGTCGGCCGCGCGCGCACGTCGAACTCACATTCATCCCCGACCGAGGATGCCGTCATCGTCGTCGGCGTCATCGACATCGGCGCCGTCGCTGGTTTTTTTTCCCGTTGTCGTTGCCATCATCGTCGCCAGCATCGCTACCGTCATCATCGCGTCTACCGTTGCCGACGTTGCCATCATACCGCGCCCGCCCAGTCGCCGACTCGCAATGAAGTGAAGTGCCCCCTCTGGGAAGTGCCCAGCGGTTAGCGCCACCGCGGCTGCGTCGGCCGCGCCATCTGCGCGCGCGAGCATGCGCGGGCTAGCGCGGCAGCACACATCCACCAGCCAACTCCAGGCACTCGCCGCCGCATGGAATTTGCAAACCAAGCTGCGGGTGGGTGGGTGGGATGATTGCGCGAGCATTGGGGTGGACAACTTACTGCGCAAAGACATGGATGTTCTTCTTTCGCAAAGAAGATTCGGATCGACCCCTCCATGGACTTAACGGGCCTTATTTTCCGCATTGCAATGTACATTTGATCCTGCCCCACTCGCCCATTCCAACTATGCACTCATACCATCTCAACGAAAACGGCAACAGAAAACATGCGCGCACACTCGTTCATCGAAAGTCATCAGATTCCATAGATCCCCTGTAAACAACAACGTGGCGAAATGCCCACGTGCGCGTCGTCGCGCGCGCACGCCGGAATCCTTCAACAACCTTCCGCTTCGTAATGATTTCGAAATCAAGTGCCACGAAGTTCTTCTGATAAAAGCCTGGTCTGGCAGCGAATATTTTCAAACGAGCAAAACACCTCTGCTCGCGCTCGTGCACATTCTTGATAAAAATAGCAATAGGTTGTTAACATTTTCATATGATGCTACCAAACGGGCCTCTCGCGCGCACATGTTGAAATCAATCGGACGCCCTTGCGCGCATGCTGTCGCAAAAACGATTTGCAACAAATGCGACGACATGCACACGCACGCGTCGTCGCGAGCGCATGCTGGAATCTGTCGAACACATTATGCTGTAAGGATGTCAACAACGAGCGACCCGGAAAAATTCAGACCACAAATGGTTTCGCAGCATCAGCTTTCATCCAACAAAAGAGCCAGCGCGCGCTGCTGCGAATTCTTTGAGGAAGCCGTCGCGTTTCCAACATTGGCATCACGTTCTGCCAAACGAAACTCTGGTGCGGCATGTCGAACTCATCCGAGCGCCCGTTCGCGCGTGCTGGGGGGGGGGGGAGATGATCCGTGCCAAATAAAACCATGTGGCCCACTCGCGCGAGTCGGCCTCGCGCGCATGTCGATACCTTTTTCCAAAACCTTCATCGCCGATGCGAAGGCGTCGTCATCGTTATCGGCGGGGGTGACAAATATCGGAGCCGCCATTGGCTTTGCCGTCATTATCGCGACCATCGTCACCATCATCGCTACTCTCATGATCGAGCCAACCGTTATCGGCGTCGCCATGATACCGCGCCCGCCCTAGTCGCCGACTCGCATTGAAGCGCCCGCTGAAAAAGCGCCCAACGGTCAGCATCACCGCGGCCGCGCTGGTCGCGGCGCCGCACTAGCTGACCGCTCCGCGCGCGAGCATGCGCGGGCTAGCGCGGCAGCACAGATGCACCGGCCAACTCCAAGCACTCGCCGCCGCATTGGATTTGCAAACCAAGTTGCGGGTGGGTGGGTGGGATGGTTGTGCGAGCAGCGGAGTTGACAACTCATTGCGGGCGTTCGTAAATTGCACCACCTAGATTGCACCACGTCGGCTGCCCCACATAGATTGCACCACAAACTCTGAGCTTGTCCCCATCGATTGTACAGCATATGTTGCACCACGTCGGCTGCACATCATAGATTGCACAACCCATATTGCAACACGCAGATTCTCCTTTCTAAAAGGAGAATAGACTCGACCCCCCCCCCGGACTTATCCGTTCCCCTTTCGGGTGTGTAAATCAAATATGATTCCGACCACTCGTCCATCCGAAATATGAAATCATATCATCCCAGCCAGGCTGGGCTCCCCTCCCCTGAGGTTCCTGTCTAAAAAAAGAAAACACTATGCGGTGACATTTTTGGTTCTAACATAACACTGGTTCGCGAATCCCTGGCAAAAAATGGGACGAAGTGCGCAAACGCGCGTCGTCGCGCGCGCATGCCGGAATCCTTCAAAAACCTTCGGTGCCGGACGGATTCCGCAATCGAGCTTCCAAAACATAAACACAGGGTTTCGCAACACTGATTTGCTAAAAAAGCTTCCGCGCGAGCTCTTGCGAAATCTTAAGAGAACCGTAGGTTTTTCAAGATTTTCACAAAATGATGCCAAACGGGCTTCGCGCGCGCGCATGTCGAAATCTGTCGAACGCCCTTGCGCGTGTGCCGTCGCGAGAACCCTCTGCAAAAAAAGGGACGAAGTGCAGACGCGCGCGTCGTCGCGGGCGTATGCCGAAAACCTTCAAAACCAATCGGTCTCGGAAGGATTTCAAAATCGTGCGTCCAAAAAACATACAAAAACCTAAGGTTTCGCAACACGGGTTTTCAACAAAAGCGTGCGCGCGCGCTCTTGCGTCGTCGTCGTCGTCGTCGTCGCCGTCCTCCCTCCTCCCGCGTCGTCGTCGTCGTCATCGTCGCCTACGTCGTCCTCTGTCTTTTCTCGTGTTCGTCGTCGTCGTCCTCTTTGGCGTCGTGGTCGTTTCCGTCGTCGTTGTCGCCGTGGTCGTCCGTCCTCCTCCTCCCACGTCGTCGTCGTCGTCCGTCGTCGGCGTCTCGTCGTCGGTTCTATTTCGTCACCGTCGTCGTCGTCGTTGTCGTCGTCGTCTTCCCTCCTCCCTCGTCGTTGTCGTCGTCGGCGTCGCCGTCCTTCCTCCTTCGTCGTCGTTCGCGTCGTCGCCGTCCTCCCTCCTCCCTCGTCGTTGTCGTCGTTGTCGTCGTTGTCGCCGTCGTCGTCCTTCCTCCTCCCTCGTCGTCGCCTTCGCTGGCGTCGTCGTCGTCGTCTTCGTCGTCGTCGGCGTCGTTGTCGTCGTCGAAGTCGTCGGAGACGTCGTCGGTGTCGTCGTCGTCGTTGTCGTCGGTGTCGTCGGTGTCGTCGTAGTCGGTCTTAAGAGGTTTTGCAAGCCAAGTTGCGGGTGGGAGGGTGGGATGTTTGCGCGAGCAGTGGAGAGGACAGCTTCAAGTTGAGCAAGTGATTGATTGCACCACATAGACTGCGCCACACAGATGGCACAACAAGTATTGCTCGAAAAACGCACGTTTGGGGGGCCCTACGCTGGCTGACGTCGGCCTCTCGCCAGTCTCATACATGTACAGGTGTATTAGTGAACAGATTGTGAGGCTGTCTGGCAGGGTACACGCTGGGAGAACATTCTCAAGGTCCCCCTCTTCCCCTTCCTCCTGCTCCGACGTGTGGGTTCCGCTTCAACCCAGATTGGGGTTGTGTTGGGGCGCGCTGTATCGAAGTTCGCTTCTGGCTCTGGGGCGCGCTATCGCTTCTGGCTCTGAAGCGTTGCGGAGTGCCCAAGCGAGTCCCCTCGGTGTCCTTCGAAGTGGGGCCTCTTTTTTGCCAGGGGCATCCCTCTGCTGAGCCCCAACAGAAGCTCGTGCGCGCCCCCGACTGGTGCACGAGCACCAGGTGCGCTGCTTTTCCAGATTCGGGTGATTCAAGCCGTCGCCCCATTCATTTGCAAGTTATCGGACCAGGGGTGCTGCCCTGCTCTTCTCCTATCCCGTACTGCTCCTCACCCTCAGCCTGCTCCTGGCGGGGCTGCTAGAGCACCCACGGCGGAAGCCCAGGCAGCTGGCCTGGCACCGCATCCAGCCCATGCCAGAGGAGCGGGTGGAGGATGAACGGGTGGAGGACCCGGCACATCTTCGAGCTCACAGGGGCGTCTTCAAGTGCCGATTGACCTGGGGTGCTTCGCGTACACGAGGTCCCTGGAGGGAGTGGTGGCGGTTCCTCGCCCTTCTCGCAGGCTGCAGTCAAGGGCAAGGGAGCACGCGGATGGTGGGGCGGGAGGGGGGGAGACAAGATCAGTCAGCATCGAATCGGGAAACTCAATCGAATCGAAATGAGCATCGGATCGGGCCGCATCGACACGGAGTCGTGATCGAACCGGATTGGCCGCGCCAGGGTCCACACTGGCACCATGCGAGCCATCGTGCCGCATCGGAGATCGCCAGAAAAAAGGACTCGAATCGAATCGAGCTGAGTGAACTCGGCATGGAATCGGGCACGTAGAACTGAAATGTGCCCTGGAGGGGGGAGGAGGAGGAGGAGGAGGAGGAGGAGGAGGAGGAGGAGGAGGAGGAGGAGGAGGAGGAAGAGGAGGAGGAGGAGGAGGAAGAGGAGGAGGAGGAGGAGGAGGAGGGGCACTCGCCGCGCCTCCAAGCTCGGCGGGGCGCGCGCGCGTGCCAGCGAATTGGCGTCCGCGACAGCGCGCTGGGCGCCCCGGAGGCGGTCACCTTCGCAGGAGGTGCCTGCCCTGCTTCCCGCGGTGCCTCCAGGGGTTCCACCTGCTCGAGCTCGAGTTCTTCATCACCGAGGCGTCCAGCTGCGTCATGCTCAGCGCCGCGTGCTCGGGGCCGTCGCCCGCGTGCCTGGCCACCGCGAAGCCGACCTGCCTGTTCACGTTGTCGTAGACCGTATAGAACTTCTCCATGAAAGGAATCCCGAACACGAAGAGCGGGCCCTTAGGCGGAGGCACGTCAAGGGGCATCAAGGAGACCTCGCAGCCGTCCGTGGTCTGATCGACGTACTCATTCGGTTCAAGGTTCAGGATCTGGTCATTGACAAGGAACCCGAGCCTCGGCAGCTGATCGAAGTTCGAGCAGTCGGTCATTACTTGCAGCCTATCGGCCAATTCCCCGATGACCTCGGATGGCCCTGCCAACTCTGACGTCCCTGTGTCTACCGCAACGTAGCAATTTTGGCATATCTCCTGAGGGTGGTTGTCGATGGTGATATCCGAAATCCTCACCTCCCAGTAACCAGTAGGCCGGGAGACTGGCACCCAGTGCAGATCCGACGCCATGTTGTCGCTGTTGACGCTACCGAAGGTGATCTGGGACACCTCCGAATCGGAGGAGGACAGGAACACTGCGTATATAGTCTGGTGGAGCAGCTGGGTCACCTTCAGCCTCTCCATCACATTGAATTTCGAAGCGTGCGACATCTCGGGCAGGGACAGCCCGAGTATCCCATCAAAGTCGAAGGTCATGAACGGAGCTTTGGTCTCGAAGGTTGCGGCAATGAACGAGCCCGGGTAGCAGACGGCGTCGAGGCACACCTCTCCGGGACTCTTCAGTCCTCTGCTCTCCTGGCTCTTTTGTTATTCCTCCCCCTTCACCCATGCAACTGCTGCTCCTGTCTCCTCCCCACCTACCCCCCAAAACTCCAGCCCTCCAAAAGAAAACACCTGGCCCCGGATCTACTGTCAGAAATCCCAACAGCCCTCTGGGCGTAGGTGGTCTAAGGATGCTCCTCTTACAACACCCTTTTCCCACTTCGGGGAGAGGTTGATCACCTTTCCACATTGATATACACCCCCTCCCCCACCCGGCCGACAGCCAACCAGGAACCATGAGGACACCATGCGGGCTCATAAAAAAACAAGCAAAACACACTCTGCCTCCATATTTTGAGCACGCGCGGCCAACCCGATGCGCCCCCCCCACCATCCCTGCCCAAACAACAAGACAAAGTACAAACTGGGGCAAAGTCTTGAGTCATGTTCGTGTGGACCGCGAGTACTTTGCATTGTTTTGATACGGCGCCGCGGGGATGTCAGCATATGGCCCGCTGTGCACAGGGCTACCATCCCAAACAATACAAAATGCACCTCGCGACTAAATCTGGATCATGCGCGGCCACCCCGCGATCACTGTCAAGTGGTTTTTTGACAGGGACGGGGTGGTGGTGTCGTATAGCCTGCTGTGCGCAGGCCCACCATACGTAATGATGGGCACTGCATTTCGACAAGGATGGTAGGGGCCGACATGTTTCACGATGTGTGCTGTCACGTGCGCAGGCGAGCCTGACACACTCTGCATGTGCCCCGAACGTGCCGCACCTGACGCGGCTGGGGTATGCGGCACACCTGGCGCCCGCGGAACACGTGGCGCACCTGGCGCTGCAGGCGTGCCTGGCAGGTTCGGGCTCCAGGGGTGCTTGGCGCGCGTGGCGCGCCTGGCACGCGTGGCGCACCTCGCCCCAGCGTCGCGCACATGGGGTCGGTTTTGGTTCCCAGTAGCTGCCCATCCAAAGACGACCGCTGAACATGCTGAGGCTCGGGTGTTACTTATGTAGTGGGAGTGCGAGTGGGAGTGAGCTAGACGGCTTGCTGTCTAGGCGGTAACTTTATCACTGTTCCTTGTTAGTATACACCCCCTCCCCCACCTGGCCGGCGGCCAGCCCGGAACCATGCCGACTCCATGCGGGCCCGCCCCCCACCATCCCTGTCAAAAAGCAATGCAAACCGCACTCTGCCTCCATATTTGGAGCATGCGCGGCCAACCCGACCGATGCGGCCCCCCCACACCCTCCCTGCCAAAAAAAGTAAACGAAGTACAATTTGTGGCAAAGTCTTGAGTCATGTTCGTGTGGACCGCGAGCACTTTGTATTGTTTTGATAGGGCGCCGCGGGGGTGTCAGCATATGGCCCGCTGTGCACAGGGCTACCATCCCTGAACAAAAAAATACAAAATGCACCTCGCGACTAAATCTGGACCATGCGCGGCCATCCCGCGATCACTGTCAAGTGTTTTTGTTGCAGGGACGGCGGGGGTGGTGGCGCGTGGCCTGCTGTGCGCAGGCCCACCAGACATAATGATGGGCATTGCCTTTCGACAAGGATGGTGGGGGCCGACATGTCACCCGATGTGTGCTGTCACGTGCGCAGGCGAGCCTGACACACTCTGCATGTGCCCCGAACATGCCGCACCTGACGCGGCTGGGGTATGCGGCACACCTGGCGCACGCGGAACACGTGGCGCACCTGGGGCACAAGGGGTGCCTGGCGCGCGTTGCGCCCCTGACACGCATTTTTCCCCTCGAGCGTCCCACCCTCCACGGGGGGAAGTGGCAATCGTCCACGTCTGGAAAAAAGAACGATCGTCGGGAATCAGGAGAAGGATGGCGGTGGCCGACATGTTTCCCGATGTGTGCTGTCATGTGCGCAGGCGCGCCTGACACAGCCTGCACGTGCCCCGAACGTGGCGCACCTGGCGCGGCTGGAGTGTGCGGCACACCTGGCGCCCGCGGAGCACGTGGCGCATTTGGCGCACCAGGCGTGCCTGGCGGGAGTGCGGGTGGGAATGAGCTAGACGGCTTGCGGGCGGGTGGGTAACTTGACCCCTCCCCCTACCCCTCCCCTGGACCTGCACGGTGGGGCGGCGAGGCGTTGGAGCATCTTAGATGGCCCAAGACGACTCCAAGAGGGCCTCGGAAAGCCCAAGATGACCTCCAAAAACGGCTCAAGATAACCTACGGTGCCCCAAGATGGCTCCCAAGGCGGCTCCAAGTGGCCGAACAACTCCCCAAGGAGGCCCCGAAGAGGCCAACATCCGTCAAAAACCTAAGGACAATCACTGGTGTTTGATGTCTCGCCTTTTCGCTTCCTATGGCCATCCGAGGCCTCAAGATGGCTCCAGACGACCCAAGGGTGCCCCAAGAGAGACCCAAGAGAGCCCCAAGAGAGCCCCAAGAGCGCCCAAGAGCGCCCCAAGATCGCCATAAGATGCAATTGCTGGGGTTCCCGAGGGGCAACGCTAATTGCGACAATCCTCCTCTTCGATCGGTCTCCTCCAAGATGGCCCAATGAGGCGCCCAGGAGGGGCTTCCAAGATGCTCCCAAGAGGCCTCCAACAGGCCCCAAGAGGCTCCCACGAGGCACCCCAAGACTTTCCAAGAGGCCCCCAGGACCGCCAAGAGGCCCCCAAGACACCCATTGCTCCCCAGGGACAAACTCCCCCCAAAAGGAGCTTACAAGACAAGTATTATCATAATCTTCTGGGAAGTCCCAAACTCGAACTCTAGGGGCTTCGAGGCCCCAAACAGGCCACAACCAGCAAGATGCAGATGAAGGCTCATCGCGGAGCCTAGATGGGGGCCTCACTCGTTTTGCACGCAACCACGCTGCCACTGATGGCCGGTTGCTATCCCAACTCGTGAGCCAATGATATCATCAGCTCCCAATCTGCTGCGCGGCCCCAGTAATCCCACCAGCCCTGTGAGCGTAGGTGGTCTGGGGAGCTTCCTCTTCCAACCCCCTTCTTCCCCTTCGGGAAGGGGTTTATCTCTTTACCAGCCTGGAACATATCCCTATCCCTATGCTGGGCATCTCCACATCACGATGTCAATCTTAGGGATTCCCTTATTTTATGTGGGTGCATCCCACAGATTGTCATCGCTGTCTGGCGTGTCAATCTTAGGGATAGGGATAAATTCTAGGCTGGTAATCTCTGTCCCCTATTAATGTTCACTCCCTGCCCCACCCGGACGGCGGCCAACCCGGAACCATGCCCACCCCATGAGGGCCCCCCGCCGTCCCTGTCAAAGAACTATACAAAACGCGCTCCGCCTCCACATTCGGAGCATGTGCGGCCACCCCGCGACCATGTTGTATTGGCATTGTAAAGGGACGACTGCGTGGTCGACCGACTGGTTTGACACATCAGTGGCTGCTGCCTTTTCGCCTTACCGTTTCCGATGGGATCTCGAAATCTCCAGATGGCTCCCCAAGTTGGCCAAGAAGGCTCAAAGCCTGGCCCAAGAGCCCCTATTGGTTCCCAGTGGCTGGCGCACCTGGCGCGGCTGCAGCACGTGGAACAGCGGGCGCACGTGAGACACGTGCCACACCTGGCGCGCCTGAAACGCTTGGGCATCCAGGGCCTGGTGCATCTGAAACCCGTGGCGTCTACAGCGTTCTTACGCGATATGCTGACTCCCGGGTATTACGAATGTGTTGGGAATGCGGGTGGGAGTGTGCAAGACAGCTTGCGGGCGGGTGGGGAGCTTGACCCCTCCCCCTACCCCCTCCCCTGGACCTGGACGGAGGGTTACGCGGGTAGGTGGAGCGTCCAAGATAGGCCAAGACGGCTCGAAGAGGGCCTCGGAGCGCCCGAGATGATCTCCAAGGTGGCTCAACATGGACCCAGGGACAGCGGGGGTGGTGGCGTATGGCCTGCTGTGCGCAGGCCCACCAGACATAATGATGGGCATTGATTTTCGACAAGGATGGTGGAGGCCAACATGTTTCCCGAAATGTGCTGTCGCGTGCGTAGGCGACCCTGACACACTCTGCACGTGCCCCGAACATGCCGCACCTGACGCGGCAGGGGTATGCGGCACACCTGGTGCACGCGGAACACGTGGCGCACCTGGGGCACAAGGGGTGCCTGGCACGCGTGGCGCCCCTGACACGCTGTGTTTCCCCTTGAGCGTCCCACCCTCCACGGGGGGAAATGGCAATCGTCCCCGTCTGGAAAAAAACACAATCGTCGGGAATCAGGAGAACGGACACCCCTGCCTACGTCGCCATCCCGCCGATCACCCCTCGGCGAGCGCGGGCGCGCAGCCATTTATATATATATATATATATATATTATGTATGCATCACTGATCGGAAATTAAGTGTACCTTGTTAGCTGCGCATGACTTACGGCTCTGGGACAAATGGCCCGCATGCAGGGCACAGCTCTCGGAGGTTGCCATCCCTAGTGTTCTTCTAATTGACGAGTGTTTCCATCTCGAGCTTTGCGGGACTCCATCAACCGCTGGCGCAAGAGGCCCAATGGGTCGCCATCAGGCCTCGTGGATGTTGCTCCTCATGTGACGGAGCAAAATTTCGCGAGCGGGCGCATCGGGCCTCTAAATACCCTCGCCCATAAGATCGAACAGCTAGTGGAATCGCTGATTCGTCTCCTGTGCCCTGCCGCAGAAAGCAGCAGCCCAAACCGGCGATTTCTGCTCGCTAGACTCCCTTGAAGTCTTCATACCAGCTGCGGCGCCTTATCGAGCCTTGGAAATGCCTCTAGCACAAAAACCGTTCGCCCGTCGATTGGGCGGCGCCCGAACCTCTCCGATTCCGATAGGAACCCTTTTCCGCACTCATCGCGCGCCATCCACGAGCCCCTGCTCAAGCGCGGCCACGCGGGATAAACGCGGACCAGTGATAACATCCACTGAGCACTGCACGCTTAACTTCAACGAGACGAAGATCGGCTTCTTCGGCAGCTGTGTGGTCTCCCCCTCCGTCTTGACCGTCTGCTCTTGCTCCGGCCCATCATC